GAGTGGAGAGCAGAACAGGCAGATTGACTTAAATACGTTGCTGAGGGGAGCAGCTGGAGAGACAGGAGAGGTCTGCTGTGCCAAGTAGGTCAGCTCCCTGGCCAGGGATTGAACTTGTGCTGCAGTGGCTGCAGACAGCTTCATGGTGCTGAGACTTAACCCTTGCACCACCAGGGAGGGCCCAATTTTGTTTGTTTTTTATCTGTGGCTGCCTTAGCACACATTGTCTTGTTCCTGCCTCAGAACCTTCCTAGTGCAAAGTCTTAACAAGGTTGATAAAGCTATTATCGCGCACCTTCAAAAAATAAGTTGGGTTGTCAGCTAATAGTTTAGAGATAGCTAGTCTACCTCTCTATCTGACTTGGTTACTCAGTAACCCATGTCCATTGTGGGAGGTGGGACCCTGAGAAGGCCACATCTCGCTAACAAAGACCTAGAGGGTCATGGGGCAGCCAGCCCCACCTGGAACAGTCTGGGGGCCTCGTCACACACGTCCCTTGGTCCCTGGTGTGCTAGCTCAGCCTGGCCCGGCACCTGGGCTGCCATCCGCCCCTGCCACCCTTGACAAGCTAGACAGCGCCCAGCTGTGTATATTCCCGCCCCCCTCCCTTCTGAGGCCTCTTGATTCTGAAGAAAGGGTGTGTGAGAAGAGAAGTGAAACTGCCCCCTTCTTTCCTGTGAGCTACTGTGCGTTTGGCAGCCTCAGCCTCAGATTAGCCAGCCCTTACCCGGATGGAGGCCTCCACCTCAGATTAGCCAGCCCTTACCCACTTTGATCTGCAGTATCTTAGCCTTTTACTCAGGACAGCTGCCCAAGTGGAAGGAAGAAGCTGTGCCCAGGTAGCTCATCGCTCCACCACTCGGGTCCAGACAGCAATCCCTGAGGAGGCCAGGCCTAAGCCTAGCACCTCACAGCACAGTCGAGCACCCTGTTGTGACTGTCTTGGGGCCTTGCTGTCAGGTTTGCCACTGGTGTTGGGTGCAGAGCTGGGAGAATAATCAATTCGAGCCCAGGCAGGTCTGAGCTGGCATCTCAAGAGTCAGGGTGTCGGTGCGGACCCCTACCCATCCTCCTCTGCAGGGGGGGGGCAAGCTTGGGTGGACCCCAACATATGAGAGTCTGTGCTGAGTCCCATCGCAAGGCTCCCTGTAGTCACTAGAACCTCCTAGAGCCCAGAAGCTGAGGACCTTCATAGCTTCAGGACATCTTTGTGTTCACCCAAAACAGGCATGTGTCACCAGGAAGCAGGGACACTGACCTACAGATTTGTACCTTCAAGATGATTCTAGGGCTTGAAACCCTGGCCACCCAAAGGAGTTTGGTGCCAAGCCTCACACCCACTTGCTCCTCATAATAGAGCAACACAGGCTGCCTCATCCCCCTCCAACTCTCCCTCCTCTGAAAATATGAGTTAATAGTAGCTGTCACTTTTTTTTTAAGGTTTATTTATTTATTCATACAGAACTGGGGTACAGGCCAGAGGCTCAGGGGCGGTGAGAGGCTTCACCAGAGACTGAGTGGGGAGCAGAACAGGCAGATTGACGAAGTACACTGCTGAGGGGAGCAGTGGGCGGGTCAGGAGAGGTCTGCCACGCCATGTGGTCACCTCTGGGGCAGGCAGGAATCAAACTCGCACTGAAGTGGCTGCTGCCAGCTTGCAGTGCTGTGTCCTAACCCTGGGCCACCAGGGAGGGCCCAGCTGTCACTTTTAAGTGCTCACCAGATGTCAAGAACAAATAAGACATATCATATGCATCATCTAACTACCCTGTCCGTAACCCTTAATGGAAAGGTGATAAACACCCCACTTTTTCATATGAGCCAGCAAGTTTAAGGAATAAAGCCAGGTTTTGATCTTCTCTGATCCCTATGTCCTTGCTCTTCTCTTGTCTAAACATCACCACCACTTAGTCTTGCTGGGATGTGGCCGTGTGCCTGGGGAGTGACCGTTACAGAGACTGGCTCTGCCTTCAATGAGGAAGCTACCTGGGGTTTCCCAAACAATCAACAGGGCAGAAAGCTGGGTCTTCCCTTGGTTTAGTTTGGGTGGTGTCTGACCTGGAAAATCCCATCAGTGAGCTTCCATCATCCTCACCCTAACCTCCACAACTTGGCCCTCCATGCTTTGTCCCTGACTCGTTTCAAGACACCTCTGCTACACTTGGCTCAGTCCCACCTTCCAGACATCCTGAACCATGCAGAGTTCCCCAAACAGGTAGTGTTATTTCATGCCTGTATGCTTTTGCGCACACAGTTCCCTCTGCCTGGCACCCGCTCCCCACGCCATCCCTGGTGAAGCGGGGCCCTTCCTGTTTGCTTTCGCAGGTCCTGCTGAAGCCTTGTCTGGGAATCTTCTCCTGACCCCACTTCCATCCCCATCAGCCTCCATGTCCCTGCTTTGTGCTTCCCTGTGTGCAAGGCTGCCCTCTGCCCACACCCCAATTCTCTGTCTCCCCATTGCTAGGTGAGCCCTAGGGGGGACAGAGATCTCTTGTACTTCTCGCGCTTATGGCTGGATCTCTAGCACCTGCCTGACATTCTGTGGGTGAGAGAGCAGTCTGGTTTCTGCCAGAGACAAATCAATGATTCCCACATGGCTACAAATGTGTGTGCAGTTGGGGTATAGCTTCTGTCGGCCCCCCAACTTCCCCCCCATCAACCCACTGGGAGAGAACTCCAGATGGAGGGGCCGTGGTCAGGAAGATAAGGAAGAACTCCTGGCAGTCAGGAGAAAGGCGGGGTGTCTGCAGTTCCTCATGGCTTTGCAGGCAGTGGTGCTTGGGGTCGAGGCAGGCTGGGGTTGGGAGGAGAGGAGGGGTGGTTGGCAGCGGGCCCCTCATTGGCTCTGACCAGTCCTGAGAGGGCTCAGTATGTCTGCCAACGTGCGATCTGGTTTCACGAGCAACAGGTCTCCAGGGCTGGCAAGGTTCTTGGGCCCTGTTATAGGAGAACAACAGAACCAGGGTCTTGGCCGGACTTCAGGGATCCTTCAGAGGCAGAGATGACCTGATCTGTCCATATTGTGAGTGGCTGCATCCATGTGGCAGTCAAGGAAGGCTCAGCTGAGCCCCGGGATCTTTAAGGTGGCCCAGGGACAAGGATGAGGGTGATGCTGTGTTTACCTGTCTTTGGGGTCAAAGGGGCAGCTGAGGAAGAGCACGGAGGCAAAGGGGCTCAGCACTGTGTTCCATCACCCCGTAAGTTTCAGACGCTCCACGGGCTTGCAGCTTTTTTCCTGGATCAGACAGATTGGCAGGCAAGGGGACCTTGTTATCTGCAAGGCTGTTTGCTCTTGAAGCTGCTCTCTGGGCATACACCCCAAATTGAGACACTTTCTCCCAGAGTCTGCAAGGCCCTGAAGTCAGACTCATGAGGCCTATTGGTGGGACCCAGAGGACATCAGCAACAAGCTTGCTGACCACTGGGCCTGTCACTTGGAGGAGCCCAACTCCCCAGAGAAGGCAGGTTGCTGGGGGACTTCTGCCATCCATCCAGCACCCTCAGCATGGTGGCCAGGGAGCCAATTGGGGTGCGGAAGATGGTGAAAAGCAGACTGCAAAGCTGAACCTTGTTCTTTTTTTTAAAGATTTACTTATTTATGCATACAGAACTGGGGTACAGGCCAGAGGGGCAGGGGCAGTGAGAGGCTTCACCAGAGACAGAGCGGGGAGCAGAACAGGCAGATGGACAAAGTACTCTGCCGAGGGGAGCAGGGGGTGGGTCAGAGAGGTCTGCCGCGCCATGTGGGTCACCTCTGGGGCGCGGGGGATTGAACTTTCACTGAAGCGGCTGCAGCTCGCTTGCAGAGCTGCGCTTTAACCCATTGTGCCACTGGGGAGGGCCCCAGAACCTTGTTTTTAATGGAATGGAGAGTCACTGAACATGTTTAAGCCAAGGATGAGGGGCATGAATACCTCCATTCTCTCAAGAGCAGACCTCAGAGGTGAAATGAGAAGGGGCCTGTGATCCAACCTGAAATCTCTGCTGCAGTCCCCTTCACTTCACAAGAGGGCACCGTCATGACATTTTGGGGCAATGAGTTTGGGTTTTAGAGGCAGATCCCTGAGAGGCCAGAGAGAGCCTTCAATGTCCTGTCCACGTTCGAGAAAGCGGGGTGGAAAGGACTTCAGGGCTCCTCCTGCCCTTCTCCCCCCACCCCCTGGGCTTCTGGGTCTCTCCTGGGCTAGGGTCCATTTGAGGTCTATTTCACATGCCCTTCCTGGTTCTTGCTGCTGCCTCCACTCAGCTGATGCTGGGCAAGCAGACAGTGACTCAGGAAGACATTGAGGCCCTTCTGCGATCCTCAAGCAAACGGGAGGGACTGGAGGTGCAGTGGAAACTATAGGGGTGTCCAGCTGAGCTGTTCTTTCCATGCCAGATCAGTGCCTGCGTGACAATGGGTTGGGAGGGGGCACATGTGATGTGTGAGCCACAGGTGGAAAGAATGAGCCTTCCGTCCGGGGGTATGGCCTAGTATGGGGCTAGGAAGAGGACCTGGGTTCTGTCAGGAGCCTTCCTGCTGCTCACACATTTCTGACTCTAATTGGGCTGAGGCAGGTGCTGTGTCTGCTGAGTCCTGGCTTTGGAGGAGTATTGAGCTCACTTGTCTGTCATGCTCCCACCAACTCCCTCCATTTCTGGTATTTAATAAGTACCTCTGCCTGCCCCCGCCCTTTCTCATACACCCCATACACCAAGGCCCCTGACCCGAGGGAGCTCAGAGAACAGCAAAGGCGAAGGAAGTGGCAGTATGCTACATGGGTGCCAGTCAGATTCTTGTGGAGATTCTGGAAGTGGGACCACAGAGATAGGTGCCCCTGAACCACCAATGGGCCCTGGCTTGTCCCTTGCCGTGGGCCTCTGCGCCAAGGAACGTGTGTCCGATGTGGAGCCTGAAGACTGGATGGCGCTGAGGCTCTGGGGTTGCCAGAGTGAGCCTGGGCCCCATTATCAACTGAGCCCCTCTTCCTGCTGACGTGGATGCTGGTATTTCCTGCAGGTTCCGAGGTTTCATCCTGCTGATCACCTTCTTTGTCTATACCTGTTATCACATGTCCAGGAAGCCCATCAGTATTGTCAAGGTGAGGTTGGCCTGGAAGTAAGGAAGAATGTGGGAGAAACATTAGAATGTTCTAATGTACAGCAGAAACAGTAGAATGTTCTGTGCTTCAGCCCCAAGCCACACTTAGCATGGTCGCCATGATGGCCCTTCACCTGGCCAGCTCCTACTGTTAGTAGCGCTTTTCCCAGGCAAGTTTCCCCAGGTGCTCCAAGACGGTGTCGGTGGCTGTGCGTGTGGAAACTCTGAGCCACCTGACTTCAGCTCAGAGCCCCTTGACCTTCGCTGAGGGTCTGATGTGGCCACTGATCCCTGTCGTCAGCGCCTGTGGGAAGAAGCAGGGCGGCAGTGGTGGAGAGAGAGCTGTGGTCGGAGGTTTCTGGTTCCTCTGGGAGCTGGGTGGGCTCTCAGGTGACCCCCCACCATTGCCTCTCCAGAGCCGCCTGCACCAGAACTGCTCACAGCAGATCGACCCCATCAACAGCACCCACAGCTCCAATGACACCACGTGGTGTAGCTGGGCTCCCTTTGGTAAGGGCAGCGGCCCCTTCCTGCTCCCCAGGGAGCGTGTCCAGAGTTGACGGGTCCTGTGCAGTTGCCTTTCTGTCTCTCCCTTCTGCTTTCAGACCAGAGCAACTACAAGGAGTTGCTGGGGGGCGTGGACAATGCCTTCCTCGTGGCTTACGCCATCGGCATGTTCATCAGGTAAGAGCAGGGAGCCTGGGCTGCTCAGAGCGGCTGCACCCCTTGACTGGTGGGGCAGCAGCAGGGCCGTCCTCCGGCTCCTTGGGAGGAAGTGTTCACAGGAGGAAGCGTTCTCAGGAGGAAGCGTTCTCACGGACTGTGAGCCTCAACTTCCCATTCCTTGGGCACCAGCCTGCTCCTAGTACAGACTCCCTGGATGCTCCTTTAGAGTTTATTGGCTCAGAAGCCAGTGTGGGTGGGAGGGGCTGGAACAGCGGGTCCTGCCCTTGATTCCTGTGGGAATGTGGTCCGAACCCTCCTGGGCTGGGATCAGGGCTAGGCCCACCCCGGCTGCCCAGGACTGATGTTAGCACCGTGAGCGACGCATGGTTTCTACGTAGCAAGTGTGGGGCTGTTACCTGGGATCACTGATGACCAAGACAAGTCGCCATTTTTAAAGGGTTCACAGCCTAATGGGGTGACTGAGACAGTAGCAGGTGGCCACAAAACAATGTGGGGGCTGGGAGACAGGTGGCTGCAGGGCACTCTGGGAGCTCAGAGGTCGGCACTTGGTCCTGGTTGGGATTACAAAATACACAGGGGCTAGGGAGGCTTCTTGGAGGAGTGATGCTTGAGTGGTGTGGTGGTGTGGCCGTGGAGGAGGGCATAGAGAAGGAACAGCCTGGGCAAGGGTGAAGCTGGTGGGAGGTGGGGGGTGGCTGGTGTTAAGCCTGCAGGAAGTGGTAGCAAGAGATGGGGCTGATGGGTGAGGTTGGAGTGCCGGTGGGCAGAGGAGTTGAAGGGTTCCCCAGGGCTTCCTGTCCAGATTCACCTTTCAGGGGGCTCATTCTGAGGGTGACATGAGAGCAGATCTGAGGGAAGGCAAGAGGGAGGCCTGGCGGTGTGAGGGCAGGAGCCAGTGAGCCCAGGAGAGCAGTCTAGGACAGCAGAGACCAGGCTGGTGAGTGGCTTGGAGGTAGACGGCTTCAGAATGGGTGGGCCTCGGGGAGTGAGCTTGAGGGGGAGGGAGGGGGGAGGGATGGAGAGAGCGCCATGGTTTGTGGCTGGAGTGGAGGAGAAGGACAGTTATTGTTATTTATCGAAGGGGCAGGGTGGGGGATGCAGGCAGCAATCTGATTTTAGAGTGCTTGTTGCAAAAATGGGGGCGCATCTTAGTGAAACTGTTCAGACATGGTCCTGAATCTCTGGGGAGATCAGACTTACGATTGCAGTGGGGCCTGTTTCACGTGTTGGTGATAGTTGAAGCCATAGAGTGATGCAGAAATTGCTCCCCAGAGAAGATAAATGAAGAGTGGCCCCACGCTGGCAGGAGCTGGGCAACAGTAGCCTCTCAGAGACCATGGAGTGAGCACGGCAAGGATTAGGGCCACACCCAGCAGAGTGCCGGTGAGGGGAGAATGAAGCTAACGGTCCTGTCGCCTGGCCAGTGGTGACGCAGGTCACGAGGATACCCCGGCTTGGGCCTTCTCGTGGCTCGGTGGTGATGTGGGGAAGACGCAGTGGCAGAGCTGAGATTAACTGCAAGTCCGATTCTCTCCTCTCCAGTGGGATTTTTGGGGAGCGGCTCCCCCTCCGTTACTACCTTTCAGCCGGAATGCTGCTCAGTGGCCTTTTCACCTCCCTCCTTGGTCTGGCCTATTTCTGGAACATCCACATGCTTTGGTACTTCGTGCTCATCCAGGTACAAGTCCTCCCCTGGCACTCAGGCCTTCACTCCCAGGCAGAAGCTCTGCCAGCCCTGCCCATGCACCCAAGGCAGATTAGGAGGAGAAGGGACCCCATTCTTTGGCTCAGTGACTTTGCACTGAGCAACCACCTCAGGCCCCTGAGAAGGCTGTGGGGTCAATCTATGCTGCAAAGATCCTTGGGCTAGGGGAGACTCATCTGGTGGGACTCAGGGTGTGGAGGGCTGTGTTACTGAGACTCAGCCTGGGCAGGGGCAGAACAGGGAACTGGCAGCCCGGCCTGAGCCTGCTCACTCACCCCCTCCCCCCTGCAGATCTGCAATGGACTTGCGCAGACCACAGGCTGGCCCTCGGTGGTGACCTGCGTTGGCAACTGGTTTGGGAAGGGGAAGTAAGTGTGATGAGGGAAAAAGAGTGGGGAGCATCCCAGGAAGCTGGGGGTCTTGAGGGTGCTCTTGTGGCCCCTTAACATAATTTTAAGGTAAACATTGAGAAACTTGTCTCCATCCCACTGATTTTCACGTGCTGAGGTTCAAATATTTCAGCAACTAAAAAGCAGTGCCAATTATATCATGGGAAAGGCCTTAACCCCTGAAGAGGCAACCTTAGTTATACTTTTCCTTTATAACAGATGGGTTCCCTTTGGGCATGAAGACAAAAATGCGGCCTAAAAAACTGCATTTATTTTTCTTGAACTGGCTTCGATGTTAAATGGTGTGTGTGTGCGTGCTTTAGACCAGGCTTTCTCGGCCACGGCACTATTGCATTTGGGGGCTGGAGAGTTCTTTTTTGTGGGTGCAGCACCTACCTGCCTAGAAGCCAGTAGCACACCCCAATGTGACCATCAAAACACCTCCAGACATTGTGAGGTGTTCCCTGGGGACAAAATCACCCCCGCTTGAAGAAGAGGAGACTGGGCACCCTCAGGGTAGTGAGGGCGCCATTTTGAAGCTCTGTGGGAGCCCACAAGGTGAGCCACATCCCAGGCCTTACAGCAGCTCCTTGAACTTGGTGGGGTGGAGGGTGGGGGGCTGCTGTGACCTACTGCACCCCCCTGTTTCACCTCTCCTGCTCTTCTCCCCACCTCTCCTCTGCTCTCTGCCCCTCACCCCAGACGGGGTCTCATCATGGGCATCTGGAATTCCCACACCTCGGTGGGCAACATCCTGGGCTCCCTGATCGCGGGCATCTGGGTGAACGGGCCGTGGGGCCTGTCATTCGTGGTGCCTGGCATCATCACCGCCACCATGGGGGTCATCACCTTCTTCTTCCTCATTGAGTGTGAGTGGACACCTCCCTCCCCGGGGGTCCTGGGAGATGGCAGCGGTCTGGTCTTGATGTTGAAGGATCAGCAGTGTGACAGCCTCAGTTTCCCATTTATGAAATCACTAGAACCACAGCTATCTCCTCAGGTTGTTGAAACGTTCAGACGATGGAGTCAGGGTGCCTGGCCCATGGTGGGTGCTGGACAGAAGTGGGCTGACTCTGGGGTGTCAGAGGGCTGGTGGGTTGAAGGGACTTTCTCAGAGTGAGCAGCCCCCACACTCGCTCACTTCCCACTTCCCTGACAATGAAGCAGCAAGGCCACGTAGCAGGGCTGCTTGTAGTAAGAGAAGGCGATCAAGGCCAGGTAACAGGGCTGCTTCCCTGAGGCAGGAGTGACAGAACTGGTTGTGAGAGTCAGGCCTGGAAATCTGGTCTCCTGAGTCCTGATCATGGGCTCCCTGGGGCGGGAAGCACACTGGTCACCCGGGGGTGGGGGTGAGGATCTGTCCTGCTGACAAACTTCTTAGAAAGTTTTTTTCCAGACCCAGAAGATGTGGACTGCACCCCTCCTCAGCACCACGTGAGCACCAGCCCCAGCCCCAGCCCTGCCCTGCAACCCCACCAGCAGCGCACCTCCAACAGAGGACTGGGGAGTCGGAGGCGGGTGCTGCGCCCTCGGGTTCACCTCTGTGGGTCCCCATCTTGGGAGCCCCACCCTCCATGAGTTCACCCTCAACCTGGTGGAAGGTGGCCCAGGGACATGCCCACAGCAGGGCCTCTTGTCTGCTCAGGGCGGCCCAGAAGAGAGCCAGGACAACCTCGAGGAGCCTGGGACTGGGCACTCCAGGGACAGCAACATGGAGACGACAGCCGGATGCTCCAAGGAGCCAACGCCAGAGCCTGCTGCCATCAGCTTCTTGGGGGCGCTCCAGATCCCAGTGAGCAGGGCGTGGAATGGAGGCCAGAGGGAGGCTCTCTAGATTGTTCTCTTGGGCATCACATGACGGGGATGGTCAGGGTGATCTCTGGTTCCCAAAATTTCTTTAGGTGAGATACTTGGGCTGGAGAGTCTCTGGGAAAGGGTCAGCTGGGAGACTTGTCTGGGGTCAGCGTTTAAACAGCAGGCACCTGCTTTTACTGAGATTGGATTTGTGTGGTGTTGGTGGAGAGTACCAGAAAGCTCCGGTAGACAATGTTCTCCAGCACCCCTTTCCATGTGCCTCTGTTGCCGCTGCAGGGTGTGGTGGAGTTCTCTTTGTGTCTGCTCTTTGCCAAGCTGGTTAGCTACACCTTCCTGTACTGGCTGCCACTCTACATCTTCAATGTGGGTAAGTGAGGTGACGGACGGTCTCGAGGGGAGGCGAAGCAGAGGCGAGGGAGAGTCTCGCGAGGGAGGCCTGGGCTGTCTCTGCAGGCAAAGGACCTTGTTCTGTGATGCCATGCTAGAGGCTGGGTTTCTCTTGGACCCTCCTAGGCCAAAAAGCATTATTATTATTTTTTAAAGATGTATTTATTCATGCATACAGAACTGGGGTACAGGCCAGAGGTGCAGGGGCGGTGAGAGAATTCACTAGAGACAGAGTAGGGAGCAGAACAGGCAGATCTACAAAGTACACTGCTAAGGGGAGCAGCAGGTAGGTCAAGAGAGGTCTGCCGTGCCATGTGGTCACCTCCCGGGTGGGGATCGAACTCATCCTGAAGTGGCTTTAGCTTCTTAGTGCTGTGCTTTAACCTGCTGTGCCACCAGAGAGGGCCCAAAAGCATTATTTTTTAAATGGGAAGCTGACACTTGTACACGCCCCCCCGGGACCCTGATTCCAGTCACCTCTCCTCCTGTGGCACAGAGTTGGGGGTTAGGAACGCAAAGCTCTTTCCTGTAGTCCTCCCTCCCTTCTTCTCTAGCAGTAAATAGAGGAGCTCACCTCATATGTTTGGCCTATCGATGAGTGGCTTTGGAAAATGCGAGAAAAGGTCTGCACTTTGAATACTTCCAGGAGTGCCTTGCACCTGCCCCAGCCCAAGGAAGAGGGCCTGGTGTGCTACCCCCACTCCTGTACCTGGGGTGAGCTCTGTGACCCTTACCAAGGAGACTCCGGGAGGCACAGATGCCTGGTGCTTGACCGGCCCACTCGGGACCTTCTCTCTGCTGCCTCTGCCCCTGCCCATGCATGTCCATGAGGAGGGGACAGGTTCCTGGTTGGAAAGGAATCTAATGCCACCTGCCCTGGTCTCTACCTTTCCATTGGCGGGGTTGGCCTATCAAGGAGCCAGCCGGAGCTGCTCGCCTGTCCACCGCCTCCACCCCCGTGGGAGGGCCACGGCTGCCCGGCCATAGTGTTCTTGCTTCAAACAGGATATGTGGGGATTAGTCAGGGCCAAACCTCAAGCTGTAACTTGCCCGCCGTTCTATCTGAGGGCCTCTCTCTCAGGTAGTGGCAGGGCACCGGGCGGCTCTGTGGCCTTGTTTTGTGGCCTTGGTGCTGACATTAGCGTATGAGTCAATGTGGAGGGTTGGCCTACAATTCAGCTCCTGGATGTTGCTTTTTCTAAGGACAAGGCCAGGACCTGAGAACTCCTTTTTCCTGTTTATTAGCAGACTTGATGGATGTGAAGCGCTCCTGGGGAGGCCCGGGGTTGGTTGGCTGAGGCTCAGTGGCGACAGGTGTGCCCCCAGCGGAAAGGGCTACTCTGAGGTCAAGGCCATCCTGCAGGGAGTGTGCAGGAGAGGGAGAGGGAAGAGAGGGCGGGCAGGAGGGGGAGAGGGCCAAGAGGGTGGGGAGAGGACAGTGAGGGTGTCCACTGCAAGCTCACGGTGACGCTGGCCCGTCACCCCGGTGGGTCCTTACTCCTTCCTCAGCAAGGTGACGGCGGGACAGTGTCAGCTGCTCTGTGCGGACTCTTTGGCCATGGCACTTGGAATATTTGTCCTGAGTCCCCAGGTTTAACCCTTTATTTGTGCTTTCTACAGCTCACTTCAGTGCCAAGGAAGCTGGAAACCTGTCCACCCTCTTTGATGTTGGTGGCATCATAGGTGAGGCCCTGCTCTGCCTTAGACTCACCCCCAAATCTCTTATGGGAGTGCAGAGAGCAGGGACCGGTCCCCGGGAGGTGGCCTGGAAGGGAAAGTGGCATCAGCGAGAAGAGGACCCGGCTTATTCTGAATCTGCTCCTGCCTGGTTGGGTGATCCTGACAGACAGGGCCCGAGCTTGACCTCCCTGTAAGCAGTGGGAACGGGGAGGGTTGCAGTGGGAGAAGCCCTGCTGGTTCTCAGTGGCTGGACCAGCGCGAGGCAGGTGTGAGTGGAGGTGGTGGTGGCCCCGGATGCAGGGCGAGTCGGTTTGTTTTCCAGGTGGCATCATGGCCGGGCTCATCTCTGACTACAGCAATGGCAGGGCCACCACCTGCTGCATCATGCTGATCTTGGCAGCCCCCATGGTGTGTGTGGCCTCAAGGGCGAGGGGCCGTGCCTGGGTGTGTGTGTTCGGTGAACCACTATTGTGTGCATCCTGGGCTTTAATGCACATGCCTGTTGTGTTAGCGTGTGTCTGCCCTGTGCACAGCTGGGCGGGGGAGAATTCAGGGTTGAGAGGGCCAGACTGGGTGTTTTGGAAAGGGGTGGGTTACTCTTGTCTTGGTGGAGAAGGGGGAGACCAGGGAAGACTAGAGATGGAGGTTAGACGAAGAGAAGACTTTCTGGAAAAAGGGAAATGCCGGGGAACCATGTCTTAGCTCCTCCACTTCTGGGGCATTTCAAGAGTTCTGGGTGTGAGCAGGAAAAGGACAGTGACCTTAGGGGCTCCAGGGCACAGAGGCTTGTCCCAGACATCGGGGCTCCAGTGTGACACAGGCGGTGGCAGGGAAGCCTGGGTGTGACGCGGCCCTGCCCCTTCTCCCACAGATGTTCCTGTACAACTACATTGGCCAGAACGGGATTGTCAGCTCCATCGGTGAGGCAGAGCTGCAAATCCTGCCCTGCCGCCGTGGGAGGGCACCCCCATGGGAGCCCGGAGAACAGCTGGGGGTGTGGGTGGAAGGCACCCAGAAGCAGGGGCCCAGCCTACTGCAGGGTAATCTCCACCTCGCGTGGCCCCTCTGTCTCACCGGCTGCCTCTGTCCCTGCCTCAGCGATGCTGATCGTCTGTGGGGCCCTGGTCAACGGCCCTTACGCACTCATCACCACTGCCGTCTCAGCTGACCTGGTAAGCAGGCCCCGCCTGGCGTCCTGGCCCACTGGCCCACAGCCCTCACCCAACCCTGGTCTGCAGGACTCTCTCAAGTCCCTCAGAATCCACCGTGCACCTCCCCCAGCTTTCCTGGCAAATCTGAGCCCCCAGGGCTTCCTTCCCCTGTCATCCCCTGCCCCAGTCCTGTCCTGTCACTTGCTTTGGGCCTCTGCACTCTTCTGCTCTCCCCAGGGGACTCATGAGAGCCTGAAGGGCAACGCCAAGGCGCTTTCCACGGTCACGGCCATCATCGACGGCACTGGTTCCGTAGGTCCGTCACGGTAGCTCCGGCGCCTGCTTGGGCCTTGTCTTGGGCTTGCTCCTTGCAGTCCCTGCTCAAGTGGGCAGGGTGGGCAGGGCCGGGCGGTGCCCTCTGACCCTGTGCCCACACAGGCGCTGCCCTGGGGCCCCTGCTGGCAGGACTCATTTCTCCCACCGGCTGGAACAATGTCTTCTACATGCTCATCTCTGCCGACATCCTGGCCTGCTTGGTAAGCATTTGTGGGGCACAGAGATGGGTATTGAGGGGTGGCTTGTCTTGCCAGGCTGGAAACACTGGACATCACACACAGCTGCCTGTTGCCCAGCTCCCTTTTACTTCTCGTGGGTGACTCCTTGTCCAGTGACACTGGCCGGCCATTGCCCTCCCACTGGCCCACTGGTCACATAGCCCTGGGGCCTATCACGGGGTCCATACTGATGTGGCCTCCCTTGCCTCTGCCGTGACGCCCTACAGTTCCTCTGCCGGTTGGTGTACAAGGAGATCTGGGCCTGGAAGACATCCCTGAGCAGAAACAGAGGGTGAGTCCTCCAGAAGCCACCTCCCCTCACACGTGTGTGGGGCATCAGGACATCTGCTCGCCAGTTCACTTGCGTGAGCCAGCTCCAGGCCAGCCCAGGCCCACTAACCTGTCCTCTGTTGTCCCCGTGTGTCTCCATAGCTCTAGTCTGGCCCTCACCCACCCACGGTAGTATTTTCCTCCAGTCCCATCACTTTTGTGAGTATTTTCTTCAAATCTGTAACTAAAGTGCCGTTAGAAAGGACTCTGCGTGCAAATCCTCTCCTCCAGGATGATTCCTCCCACCTGCTCTATTTTCTTGGGGTCAGTTGCAGAGACGCTGAATCTGGCCAGAGCATGATGCTTGGGGAATGTCTCCTAAGGGGTCAGAGCTGCCAGGGAGGTTGGCAGCCTCTTCCCGCCTCTCCCCTGTAGGTCTAGACTGGGCTTTAGATGCACCCCCCAGACAGAGGAGGTGCAAGGCCAGGGATTTGGTTCTTCCTCTGAACTCAGTGGGTGGCAAGTTCAGAAAAACAAGGGAGTCTGGCCCCTCTGCTTGGGGTGTGGGGAATAAAGCAACTGCTAATCAGACTTTCTGGAACAAACTTTGAATCAAGCACTGGTGGTGGTCTGGTGTGCTCTCTGCCTGAGCCTATGGTGGTGGGTGCAGACATTGCAGTTTGGTTAGTTTCTGAGCCCAGCGTCATTGATCTCGAGCTCAGGCCTTGCTGGTCCCCCTCAGCAGGAGGCTCTGGTCACAAGGAGCTGGCCAGAGCAGCGGAGCTGGTCAGGATGGTAAATGATTGAGGAAGTTCTTCGGGGTCCAGGTCGCCAGAACCCTATCAGTTCACAGAGTGAAAATCTGAAAGCAGGAGGGACCCACAGTGTGTGCCCCCTACCTGCCCGGAGGGAGGAGGGAGCAGGGGCAGTCGACTCTAGGCCTCAGTGCTCCTTCAAGTGTGTCCCTGAGCCAGGCCTGAGGGGAGGCTGGGCAGGAAAATAAAGCAGCAGGAAAACAAAGAATGAATATTTAGGAGACAATTATCTCCTCTATGCCTTGAATTGAGGTTGACTTAAATAGCTTACCTCGGCAGCAATCTTGAGAAGTCGACTAATCCCAGCAGAGCCTGAATTTGAACCCAAGAGTGAGGGGGTTTGCTTTTCTCTGTTCTGCTCTGTCCTCAGCTGGGCCCTCTGAGGAAGACCCGCGTGAAGGCAGCAGAGTAATTTGCAGGGACAGAGGGAGCACTGGGCCAACCCCTCGTCAGTGCTCACATTCATTCGCTATGAGACATACTCCCTGAATCTTTGCACTTTTGTGTGAAAATGGGGATACTTATCCCTAAATACCTGACAGGGTTGATCAAAGGCTAAGGCAAGCTGGGACATGCGTCATTGCTTTGTAAAGCTGTCAAATGTAGTACCAATATTGTAATGTTTTTAATATAATTCTGACTTGCTATTCCCTGCTGAAGAGGTGAAAGGGAGTCCTAATTAGAGGGAGCAGAGATGAAAGTTAATTATTCAGGGACCTTAGCAGCCTGCTTTCTGTCCCCACCATGGGGCAGGAGCTTATTAAGCTGTGTTTCACCTCTTCTGTCTCCTCTCCCCTCTTCCTGCAGGTATAAAGAAATATGAGCCCCTGATTGGAAGAGAAGCAAGGAGGACCGGCAGCACCCTGGGTCCCAAAGTGCTCCCCCAGGGCACAAAAATGGAAGCTGCTACAGAATGGACAGTTGTTTCAAAGCCTCTTAAAGAACAGGATCGGCCCAACCTAGCCCACAGGCTAAGGAACCAGGACATTCTCCATGGGAAGGGACTGCCCAGTGGAACTTCTAGAAACCTTAGGGCGTGAGTTTGGAAAGGACCCGCTGAAGGATTGGGGGTCAGAACTGAGTGGTGCCTCCATCTCACTGAAGGAAGGAGATGCTTGGGCTCTTGCTTGTTCAGAATCTAAGTCCCAGGGCAGAGGCTCCGCAGGGGCAAGGCCTGCAAAAGGTTCGTGTGTCCTTCCTGTGTTCATGTTAACCTCTGTAATCAGACTGTGCCTATAGATGTTATTTCAACGCTGATCTGCTTCTCTTTGTCCCTTTGTCTGCGAACTCAGTCTTCCCTGTATATCACCCCAACCTGGACCCCCTGCTCTGCCCTCCACTGGATCCTGCTCCCGACCCCTGAGCCATTTTGATGAAAGCATGGCTGCTGTCCCGGCCTAGGAGAGGGCGAGGCCAGGAGGCGCCTCGGGTACCAGGTTTAGTGGAGGCCTCTCTTCTTGGAAGGGCCCTTGCCTGACACCCCCCTTTGAAGGCAGGGATGGGTGAGGGGTGGGCACAGGGGGGCATGATACCCCGTGTGTATTAAGTGTTGGAAAAGGAAATGCCAGTAACTGTCAAAGAGTCACTGAGCCAGTTCTGCTGGAGGAATGGACACAGAAAGAGAGCTGAACGCAACACCAGGGCACGGGGCTAGCCAAGAAGATGCTGCCTGGTTCATTAGAGATCTGAGCCTATCTTCTCCCCACAGTGTTATCACCCTGACATCCCCAACACCCAAATCCTAGCTTGCTGCATGCCAGGCAGGCTCTTGTCATTTCTGGTTGACCTCTGAAGCAGCCATGGGCACGACTCTGGTTTTTTTTCTTCTTAAATTTCTTTCTTTTTTTTTTTTT